GACTGGCTGCCCATAGACGGTCTCTGTATTGCAGCTGTAGACTATCCGTGTTGCTGCCGGCAGCTTTGCGACAGACCAGATCGATGTGATGGGGCACTGCATGACGACCACCGCGAGACTGTAAGGCCGCGAAAGCCACTACGAGGCGTGTCAGCTCGTCCAGATTGGACGTGTCCTGTCCAGGCCACAGCAGCTCGAGGATGCTGTAGTCGAAAGTCGTGCCTGGGTCGTGGTCTTCTGACATCGTGTCCTTCGAGAGTCGGAGCAGCACCTCTTCGGAGGGTATCTTGTTCTCTGGGAGCCTGGCGCCACGAGATTCGTGTGCCCCCTCGTAGGTGACGGTTCTGACGAAGGCGTCGCACCATGCTTTTAGCATGTGCGTGGAAAGGAATCGTCGTAGTTGTTCGAAGGTATGTGTCTCCTGTCAGATGCGCGCAACAGCTGACAGGACGAAATCTGGTTACATAGAGCCGGGGCAATATGATAACTCGTGCCTTTGCTTGGTTGGCTTTGGTGGTGTTCTCGGGGTCGGCGAGGCCACCACGCGAAGACATGGCTGCTAGGTGTTGATTTTTGCTTTGCTAGGCGTCCCGGTCTGTTGGTGCTTTTCTCTTGAATCGATACCGGTTGGAAGACCCTGTCGCTGTTTGAAGGGGCATGCCACTTGCCATATGCCTAACTGTGTGTATTCTGATGGGCGGTGAGGATGCGCTTTTTTTGTGTTCGTGCGTTCTCGGCTTGCTGTTCAGCTCTGTGAGACTTCTGCTTCCGGCTCTTTGGCGTCTGGCAACCTCTAGGAATCTGCAGGATTCTCTGGGAATTCCTAGGAATTTGTAGCCTCTGGAAGCTTGAGGGAATCTTTAGTATTTTCTAAGAATTAGTAGGAATTTGTAGCTTTGGAGAACGTCCTTGACTCTTTTGGATTTTGTAGGAATGTCTAGGAATTTGTAGCTTTGGAAACTTTCGGAATCTTTAGGATTCTCTAGGAATTCCTATGAGTTTGTAGCTTCTGGGATCCTCGAGGACTGCACAGCAGTAGGCGCTGTCGCTCATGTTTGGGTGGCAGCGGAGCGTGTATGGCGGTGGCGGTTTTGCGTTCCGGGTCCATTGTTGGATGTGGATCGTTAATGAGGAGCGCGTGTCTTCACTGGCCGCATGTTTAATGGTGTTTCACCAGGTAATGCAGCAGCTTTAGGATGGGCATGGGAGATTGGCTGGCCGTGTTGATTACTGGCACATGGAGTTTGTCTTTATTTGTATGGATTTTTTTGTATATTTGCATGGATTTGGTGTACATTTGCAACATTTGATTTTGTGTATGTTTGGAATCTTTGCATGTATTTTGTGTAAATTTGCATGGATTCGTGTATATTTGCATGAGTTTGGTTTCTTTTTGTATGCTTTTTGTGTATGTTTGTATGTTTGTTTTGTATATCTGTATGGATTTGTGTGTGTTTTAGTTGCTAGCGATGCCGTATGTGTGCGGATGATCGCATAATTCCTCCAGGAAGTCGCTTCTGCTCATAACTGTGGGTCGGGATTCGCGTGAGTCTAGTTTAGTGTACTGGCCGTTGATGGTTCTGTATGCGATCCAGTGGTGGTTGTTCTGGTTTTGTATGGCTCCCACGTAGTTTGCGAGGTCTTCTGGGGTTGTCAGTGGCTTCAGGTCCAGCCGCCAAGTTACTCGATCGTGTTCGGTCATCGCTTTTGTCAAGAGTGCCGTGCTGAGGACTTCGGAGGAGAACCAGCCATTGCAGCACATGTGGTCCTCAAGGCTGTCTTCAAGTTCGGGATTCTCGAGAAGGAACTGGCTGGCCGCGTGGACTAGGTCTGCTTCTCTGAAGATGTCTTTTCCGAGAGCATTGTTGAGCGCGTGTAAGCCACACAGCGTTCGTTCTTGATGTTGAAAAAATGCTCCTGGGATTGTCGTGTCTGGTGTTGCCGTTGATCTTGTGTTCATTGGTGGGGTTTGGCGCGGAACGGGCGGCTGGGTTTGCTTGCTTTTTGTTGCCTTCGTCGGGTGGAGAGGGGTGCAGGAGTTTAGGTGGGTGTGGTGATTGAAATGTTTGTGCTTTTTCTGTTAAACTCGGTGGCTGTTCTTAGCTGGACGGGGAATTGATTGCGCCTGAAGGTATTGTGAGTTTGTATTAATTGCTGAGTTGTTTGCCTTGCTTGTTGTGTGAGAGGCGGTGGGCGACGAAAGTGTCCGGTCTGGTTGGCTTGCTTGGAATTACTCGAGCCTAGATGTGCAGCCGATGGTGATTTTTTGTTGTATTGTTGGATTGGGTTGCGATTTTACGACATCGTCTCTGTTGATTGACTTGTGGACGTGCGGCAGGCTGTGTTTTCTGCTGTCACTGGGCGTGGTTTTTGGAGTCTTTTGTTGTTTTTTGATCTACCTGGATGTGTCCAACCTGGTTTGTTGGATTTTTTTTGTGGTGCCGACAGTTTACGGTGTAGTTGGGCTGGAGGCGCTTTTTTTTGTGTTTGTCTTTTCTTGTTGTTGTTGTTGCTATGGTTGGAGCGGGAGTGGGTGTCTTTTGTTTTGTTGAGGTTCTTGTTGCGATACGTTGCAAAGCTTGGTTGTTGACGTGGGTGACTCTGGCGGGTCGTTGTAGTAATTTTCTTCTAGGATTTGTATGGTTTCTTGTTTGAGCATGGGCACGATGTCGGTCCATGGTTTCTCACCGTTGTCTGGGTGCGTGCCGACGATGTACATATTTCGCACAGTTTGTCCGTACTCGGTTTCGAGGATGTGTCGGTATATGTTGAGTTGGAGTCTGTAGTGCGATACTGGACAATCTGGCATATGTTGGATGGGTGGCAGCATTTGTTTTCCATAGCTTTGGTGCTTGTGCTTGAGTTGACTGGTTCGTTTCCAATCGATGATGACTTTGTCGCCGTTGGGATGTTTTGCAACGAAGTCTATGGTGCCTGCGAGCTTATACTTTTCGCTGTAGATTTTCCACTCTGTGCGATAGGTTTGGGTCTCCTTTATGTCCTTCAAGAAAAGCTTGAGGAGCTGAATTTCCGGCGTTAGCTGTGGGACGGTTCCCCCGTTGAGGAGCTTCTCGAATTGGGCGTGCATGTGTGTGCCCGCCTCGGATGCTTCTCTTGCTTTGTTGTTCCACTTGCATTTGATGGTGTCGTCGTCGAAGGTTAGGCGTTCACAGAACTTCTCGAGTTGTGGGTGCTTGTGTCTCAGGCGGCTTAGAAAGAGGCAGATTTGGTGGAGATGGGCGTCAGGCTGTTCGAGGAGGCGTTTGAGTTGCTTGTTGTCTTCTGGGGTGAGCGGTAGGTTTTGTTCTTCTTTTTTCAGGCTTTGCAAGGCGTGCAGGTCAAGGTAGTCTGGGCGGGGCCATCTCGTGCCGGACCGCATGTTTTCGATGGTGCGCTGAGGGTCGAAATGCTGTGTGAAGTGATGCACCACTTGGGTCACGGAGGTACGGACTGGGTCACCCTTCCAGTAGTACTTGTGGTTGGCTGTGTCGAAAGTGATGTGTTGGTCCTGTTCGTGTGGGTTGATGTGCTGTAGGTGATCGGTGTCGTCTGGTCGATTTTCCGTTGCGGTGTGATGGTCTTGCGTGGCTGGCATGCTTGTAAATTGGGTGGGTTCGTCTTCGTCGTGGATGCATTTGCGTTTTTTTCGTCTCAATGCTTCGTGTAGGATGTTGTCGGCTTGGAGCGATGACAGGGAAACGGTTTGCTCGGTGTCGGCTGTTGCCATGATTGTTTGTGTGTGCGCCGTGCGTGTGTGAGTGTGTTTTTGTGTGTGTTTTGCGTGTGTGTTCGTGTGTTTGACTAAGTCGGTTTCTTTGGGGAGGGGGGTGAGACACATGTTTGGTCGGTTTGACGGCTTTACGACTGGTTGTGCATACGTGTGTGTTTTCGCTCAGGTACATGTACGCGCATGTGTGTTTATTGTGTGTGTGTGTGTGCGTCTTGCAAGGTGCATTGTTGTGTGGGGTTTTGATGGGGTACTGCGGGACTAGTTTGGTGGGCCAGTGCGGGTCATCGTTGCGGTGTTTCTCTGCTAGGTATTTTGGTGACATGTCGTCCTTTCTATACGCGTCGTTTCTTGACTTTTTGTTCGTCTTTTTTCTCCTTTGTGCGTGTGCTTGTACGTGTTTTGTCGGGTCTGGGCCTGTCACGAGATGCTGGCAATGCCGTATGTGTGAGGATGCTCGCGTAGCTCTTGCAGGAAAGTGCTTCGGCTGATGACAGTGGGCCGCGGTTTGAGTGAGTCGAGCTTAGTGTACTTGCCGCTGATGGTTTTGTATGCAATCCAGTGTTGATTGTTCTGGTTTTGTAAGGCTCCCACGTAGTTTGCAAGATCTTCTGGTATCGTTAGTGGCTTGAGGTCCAGCCGCCAAGTTACTCGATCGTGCTCGGTCATCGCCTTTGTCAAGAGTGCCGTGCTGAGGACNNTTCGGAGGAGAACCAGCCATTGCCGCTCATGTGGTCCTCGACGCTGTCTTCAAGTTCGGGGTTTTCGAGAAGGAACTGGTTGGCCGCGTAGACGAGGTCATCTTCTCCGAAAATGTCGTCTCCGATAGCATTGTTGAGCGCGTGTAAGCCGCACAGCGCTCGTTCTTGTTGTTGAAAAAATGCTCCTTGGATTGTCGGGTCTGGTGTAGCCACTGATCTTGTGCTCATTCGTCTGGTCTGGCGTGGAACGGGCGGCTGGATCTGCTTGCTTTTTGGTGCCTTTGTCGGGTGGTGGGGGCGGGGGNNGGGGGGGGGGGATTGCACTGATTGTCTCTGTTCAGTTTAACTCGGTACCTGTTCTGTGCTGGGCGGACAAGTAATTCTGCTTGGATGCATTGTGGGTCTTGCACGTGCTTTGGGGTTGTTTTGCTTGCTTTTTGTGTGACAGGCGGTCGGCGGTCAAGATGTCTGGTTTCTGGAGTTTTGCGAGTTTGTTTTTGTAGTAGACGGGGTTTTTGTGCCTGGCGGTGAGGGTTTTCCACAAGGCTTCGATTCCTTCGTTGCTGTGTGTTGGTAGTTTGCGCTGTGCGTAGTAGAGCGTCGTTAGGGCCCATTCTGCGTCCTTGTTGTAGATGAGGCTGCTTCTGTTAAATTTTTTGAGTGCGGCTAGTGACATTTTGGCCACGCGACTCAATGCTGTGTATGCTTGCCCGGGGTTTTTTATGCTCCGACCTAGGTCCGCGAAGATGCCTTCGGGCAACGTGACTGCCTGGGCTTTGTGGATGGTGCTGGCGTGTGCGAGAACGATCGGAAATTGTCGTCTCTGGATCCACTGTGCATTCTTGCCCCAATAGTTCGCACTGCGTCGTTCGACGGCTACGGCTGGTGTTTGGTGCAGCTCGCACCATCTCTTTCCAGCCTTGTCGAATCTGACCCAGATGGTTGTGACCTGGTCGTCGAGCAGCTCGACGGATTGCACCTCTCCGCAGGCGCCGTTTACCAGTCCGTCCCTGACGTCCCAGTTTTGCTTGTACATCACTCGGCTGCCTACAGCCACGGTGAGTAGGGCTTCTAGTCCACCCGTGTCTTCTGGGTCGATGTAGCTGTCGCTCGGGTCGGCTATCTCGCCCGTTTTTGCATATGTGTCGATGCAGGGGCATTCGTATCGGGGAATGTGTTGTTCGTTGATGTGGTGCTGAAAAATGCGTGCGTTGGTGACGGCAACGGCTTCTCGCGTGGCGTGTAGGTGCATCGCGTTGCGAGCGGGTTGGATGCCGTTCCTGCGGCGGCTGACCCTGCTCTGGAGGACGCGGACGTCTTGCTCCGTCCAGTGTCCGACGCGCAGCCTGGCCAGCAGCGCTGCCCACTCGGGATCTTGTGCGGCTCTCTGATTACCCTGCAGCTCGAGCAGTCGAAACTGGCTCCAGTGTCGCTCGCATGCGAATATGGGCTTGCCGTGCGGTGGCGGGAGTTGGTAGAGGTCTCCGAACATGACGAGGTGAATGCCGCCGAAGGGAGTGGTGTCGTTGCCGGTGGCTAGTCGCAGGTGTCGATCGACTCTTTGCAAGGTTTCATCCGACACGAAACCGAACTCGTCCAACAAGAGTACTTTGGCGTGTTTCCAGAGGGTGCGCATGCTCTCGAGTTGAATGCCTCGTGGCGGTGGGATGTCCGTCGACTTGCCGTAACTGTTGTTGATGACCGGTAGGCAGAGTGCAGTGTGTAGGGTGACGCCGTTGATGTTGAAGGCCGCCACGCCGGTTGGCGCGGTGATGACTACTCCCACACCTGCCTGTCGCAGCTTGTGCGCGACTGCTCTTAGGATGACGGACTTGCCGCTGCCACCCGGTCCGTGCACGATGAGTTTTAAGTGTTCGTTGATTTTGGGTGCTGATTTGGGGGCTTCCAAGACAAATGATATGATGTAGTCCATGACAGTCCTTTGGTATGTGATCTGTTCGCTTCCGGCATCCGTCTGCAGGAGTTCGAAGCATTCCTGGAGAGCGGCGAAGAGGGATGGTGGGGGGAGGGGGGGGGGTCCTTAACGTTGCAATTTCGGGTGTGGTGTGATAGGCGTTTTAGTCCTCGCCGGCTTCCACGGGGGCGAAGGCATCGCTGGCTACGCCCGAGGGTACGTTGTCTGGTGCATCGAAGTCGAAGTCTCGACCGTTTCGATTGCGGAGACATTGCATGATTTGGATTGAATCTTTGTACTTGTCTTGGTCGAACCTGCTTAGCGTCCAGCCTCGCAGGCTTGAGCGGATGCTTGCTTTGAGGTACATGGTTGCTTGGACGCGTTGAATTTCTCGCGCCGCTCCGATGGTATTGTTTAAGCATGGGTAGCAGATGGAGCTCATGAAGTGCGGATAGGTTTGTCTGTCTGAGACGATGCGCGCGAATGCTCTGGTGTGCTTTCCTCCGTCTTCGGGTTTTAGCCAGTCTCCTGGTGTCTTCCAGACATGGTGAAGTAGGAGCTTCGAGAAGTAATAATCTTCGGTGTCTGTGTCGGGGCTGAATTGTCGGTGTCCCACAATGGCTGGTCTTTTCCTTGGTAGAGGACCTGGAGTGGCGTCGCGGGGTTGTGCTCGTTGAAATCCGGCACAGTAATCGAAGAAGCTGATCTCTTTCCAGGGTCGCCGGGTTGTGGCTATGCCGTCTGTTTCCACTGGGATGTCGGTGATGGTGTCGGGCATGGATTCTTGAATGCTGGCGTATCTTTCTTGCGCGGCTGGGAGTTCGTTGGCATGCTGGCTCGCGTACGCATCGGGGTTCGCTATTGCGAGTCTGACGTCCTGAGGCCGAACCCAGAGCGTCCAGGTTTGCGGTCGGCCCGTTTGGATCCAGATGTGGTCGCGGGAGAAGAGCACCACCGGGAAGCCCAGCAGGAGGTGACAGGCTTCGAAGGTGGAAGCCGTTCGTGCCTGTGTTGATGCGTGTGCTATTTTGTAGGTCGTCTGATGGAAGGGGCTATTCGATTCGACGAGTTGTTCCACAAGGCGTTCCACTCTCCTGGCGGCGACGATGTCCTCTTCAGACTTGAAGGTGTAACCGAGGATATAGCGCGAGGCCATGGTCAGTTCGCATATGGGTTGTAGGTCCGTGCTGCTTTGCCATTCCAGTAGTATGTTTTTGTTGTACTGGCCCATGAGCGTGCCGGTGCCGTTGAGCGGGTGGGGCTCTAACTTGGTGCCCGGATGCCGTCGGACGGCGATGCTCGATTTCACTCGACGGCTCCACTGCTCTTTGGCGGTTCGTCTTCGCGCTCTCGGCTCTGGCGCGTGTGGATAGCCGAATCTGCAGTACTGGAGGTTGCCGGCGTATCTTCGGCAGTATTGGTTGCAGTTATGGGTTTGGAGGCTGGCTAGGCTGCTGAGGCATTTGTAGTCGGCTCTTTCGGGATGGCGCTTCAGGTGCACGTTTTCCCAGCGTTCGGGGCTGGTGGTGCAGATGAACCTGTCGGTGAGGTCTTCTACGGTGCATGGCTGGATCCTGTCTGCAACTTCGTCGTCCGTCAGGTGCTCCACGTCGTCTGCTGAAAGCTGTGTGGGGAGAAGGCTGGGTTGAACTCTTTCTCGCGTCCAGAGGAGCATGTGCACGTGGGGATAGCCTCGTTTTTGCCATTCCACTCGTACTACGTAGTCATGCACGTGGAAGGGGGGCGGCCACTTGTGACGTGCATGCGGCGCGCTGTTTTGGTGTCTGTATTGATCGGTTTTGGGGGTGTTGTCTTCGTCGGTGCTCTTGTTCTCGGATCTTGGGGTTGATGCGTTTTCCGTGTTATCGGATTCTGTTTCGGTGTCGCTGTCTTCTGCGGCATCTTGTGGCGTAGGGCTGAGCCATCGCAGGAAGCGCTTGACGTGTTGGTAGAATTGTCTGGCGACGACGGCCGGCATGCTGTTGCACAGCTCGTTGGCGGTGTAAGCCTTTTTTTCTGGGTCGTCACTATCGCTTTTTCTTTTTGTTGCTGATGCGTTGTTTGTGTTAGGTGTATCCTTTGGTGCTTCGCGTTTTGACGTGTCCACTTCTTGTTTTTTTGGTTCGCTATTCGCAGGGTTCGCGTCGTCGAGATCTGTTTGGCAGGCGTCGTTGGCTGTGTAGGTTGCTGCTTCTGCGTTGTCGCCTTCGTCGCTGTTTCCGCTCTTAGCTGATGCATTGTTGGTGTCAATTGTTTTCTTCTGTCCTGTCTCTTTCAGCATGTCTGCGAGTTGGTCGTTCGGTTCCTTATTCGCATGCCACTTGTAGTTGCGGTCTTCCATGTAGTTAGCGTAGATCCACGCGGCTAGCTGGTGTCTTTTTTTCGTGTCTAGGGTTTTTTTGTGTACATGTTCGCCTCGCAGCAGCTTTGCGTAAATGCATGCGACGAGGATGTGTGCTTGTTTGGCGTGACACGTGAGTGTGAGGAACCATTGTGGCGTGCCCAGCTGTTCGAACATGCTGAGGGCCACTCCCTTTTTGGCGAAGACGTACGGTTGTGTGCCGGGCACGTCCCGGAGGGTTGTGTAGACCTGCTTACGAAGTGCTTCCGTCGGATGCGTGGCGCTGCTTTGCCTCTGCTGGGATATGCGTACGCTGGTGTTGCTGCTGATTCGCTTCTTGAGCCATGTTTCCAGCAAAAAGTAAATGTAGTCCGGGCAGTCCTCGAAGCGTGGGTCGGCGCCGAGCAGACGTTGGCGTGTATAGTCCGCAAACTTCATGTCGGGGTTGTAGCCGTACTCGCCGGTGGGGAACAGGTGTGGGAAAACCTTGACGTCGGCATCAGTCATTAGATTTGCCATTAGCTTGTGTTCGCCCAAGTCGTAGGTGTCGGCGAAGGGTGCTGTGGGTGCTTCCGGGAAGATGTACTCGATATTTGCGAGAGTGTTTTCGGTGCGTTCGTGGTTTTTGTCTTTCGTGTTGGCTGGGCATGTGTTGCTTTGTGCTTTGCTGCTCGTGGCGTTTGTATCACTCTCGTCGGAAGAAAGGTATATGTGGGTGTTGCACGTTGTTTGTTTCGGCGTGTCGTGAGTGGGCTCGCAGGTGGCGCTGCTGTATTGCTGACGTCTTAGCCTTATTTTCTTTCGCATGTGACTGGTGCGTGTGTACTGGTACTTCTGCTGGAGTCGTTGAAGGGCGGCAGTTACTTCTGGTGTCTTGTAAAGTCTGTGATCTCGATGTAATTCTTCAAGTGCTCGGTATAGGTGTCCGACGTTGGCGTGGCTTTCTACTTCTCCGTTCGGGGAGTGCACGTAAACTTTGCCGTGCCTGTCCAGGCGGCAATTCTCGAGGACGCTGGACAGGCGCGGTCGTTTCAGTGGTGTGATGTACATTCGACCCCATTGTCCCCGGGGTCCACCGGAGGGCATGTCGATGAGAAACTGCGAGACTTGTGCCATGGCCACTAGTCGTTGCTCCATGTAGTTGAGCCGCCGCATGCTTCTGGATTGTCGCGGCACTTGTGGGAGTATTGCTGCAGAAATGTTTTCGCGACATTTCTTGCAAACAAGTACCTGCTCGTTGGGGCTTGGCTCGGTTCTGGTCCTCTGCATGTAGCGGAGGGGTGTTAGCATCCTGCATTTGGGACAGGTTTCTGAGAGGCCGTAGCGGCGCCATTTGCTGATGATGCCTCTTGGATTGCTGTAGAATTTCTGGCGGAACTTCAGGCGGCCGGGTAGTGCTCCGTTTTGGAAGTCTTCGTTTAGCAGTATTCCCGTTTCGAGTTGCCCCCTTGGCAGGTGTTTTATTGCTTTCTTTATGGCCGCGTCGTTCATCTGTTGGAAGCTGGGTGTGTTTGGTTTGTCCAGTGGATGGTTTTCCCGTGGAAGCGGACCTTTGTTCTTGTTGTTGAACGTAACCATGTGATTTTGTCAAAATCTGTCTTACACTCCTTTTTTTTGTGGTTTCTTCGAGCTTCTGGCCTTTCTTGCCGTAGCCCTTGCTGTATCTCTCTTCTTCGTTGCAGTGCGGCTCGCGTGGTGTTGCCGAAGATACTGGACCTTGAGGAACACTGTGTTGCTGCGGGGGGGGGGGTGTTTGCGAGCGGCTGTTGTAGTAGCTTTGGATGGTTGTACCGTTGGGTGACCGGCCTTTCTTGCCGAGTCCTTTGGACAATCTTTCTTTTTGAGTGCATTGCGATTGGCGAGTTTCGTGGTCCGGTGTTGGTACTGGAGCTTGGGGAACGTTGTGTTGCTTTGGGTGTTGTGTTG